ATGTTTACCCATATCCTATAGTTTAGATTCATGTTTTCCCCCTTCATTTTTACTGGGCCTACATAACTTTTGTTTTTCACTTGATTTATTTGAGGAATTTCGTCTCTTGTTTTTTTATTTTATTTTTTATTTAACTCGATCTTTCATTTAATGTTAATTTTGTTGGAAAATGCTGGCATATTTATTTATTAGTTTGAGTAATAAATACTCCTAGACCAGGGCTGTCCAAACTCGGTCCCGGAGAGCCGGTGTCCAGGAGAGTTTAGCTCCAACTCTAATCAAATACACCTAAACCAGCTAATCAAGCTCTTAGGTAACTTAACTTCCTGGCAGGTGTGTTGAAGTGAGTTGGAGATAAACTCTCTAGGACACTGGCCCTCCAAGATTGAGTTTGGACACCCCTGTCCTAGACTATTAAAATACACTCCTTATTTTTGATATAGTCTCATACAATAATAACATCACAATATGGTACATAGATTAAAAAAAATATGTCGCTGCTTGTTTAAACAACTTATTTAAAATAAGCTGATGCAACAAAATTCTTGAGATTTTTTTGCGACGACTTAAGAGTTTTATGTTCAATCCACTTAAATTTGTTACGTTCATTTCATTGATTTTTATTGGGATAACATGAATGAATTGTGTGTAATTCTGCAACTCTTTACAGTGTTTTATTCTAACAAATAAAACTGAGTTCTATTAAATAAATAATTAGTAAAATTAATACTTTTAGTTTTAGTTTGCCTTTGCATAATCAACATATCTACTGGATCTGACATAATCTTGATCCTCAAGCAGAATGTATTGTCTCCTGACTCTTAGAGAAAAAGAGATGAGCTTAAAAGCATAGAGCAGATTTTTTCCTCCTGCAATAAATAATGTCAGGTTTGAGACCACATTACGACATGGTGGTTGGAAAAATACTTTCATTGCGTTTTTAACATCAAATGCTGAATGATAGAAGGAGGTCAACTAGTTAAAATTTCACAACTTTGTCCACTTTCAGTACAAAACACATTTTTTGGATCGCTAAAACACACTAGAGGGTTCAAGTATGGGATACGCAAGCTGTTTGTGAGTGAGAATAAAAAGGCATCAGTTCAGAAGCCCTTAACTCGCAGTCATCACAGGTAATAATTGTAAAATATCTGTGTTTCTTTTCCCCAGCTTTGAAGTGAGGTGGCTACTGTCTGTTCTTGCCCTGTAGGAAGCGCACATTAGATTTATGACTTTGTAGACAACCAAATTACACTGTCCCTCGCTGCAGCCCAGGAAGGCCAGTAATCGCTTAATACACAACAGCTAATTGTGACCATACCGAGATATAGAGTTTATGTGACACATGATAAGTGTTTTTCCATCCCTCTGGCAGAGAAAAGGTGTAAAGGCAAATTGGCAAAAGAGGCTTATCTGATAAAGCTGTAATTTGTCATGAATGTTCCCATTTTTCTCTCAACACCCAAGACACGGCTTTAGTCGATCTATCTGGATCAAGGTGGAGGGAAACTATGAGTGAAATTCTTTTACTCTGTTGTCATTTGTATGATATGAATGACCAATGCTTTAATTAAGAATGCAAGTCTTTTATTTCTATACTGGTAAAAGTTTTGTACTGGTTCTACTTCATTGTTTTGTTTTAAAACCATTTTGTCCTCCCGAACTGTTATTTTCAAATAAATTCTCAACCCTTTTGGGCTTTTTATAATAAATACACTTTAGCGGTCATAAAATTCTTTCAAAGAAGATTGGTTTTCTTGAGGTCAGTCTTGCAGTTTTTTTAATGTAAGTTTTTAACACAATGGTAATGCTATACACAATATAATGCTAGTTATGCTGTAAATAATGTCATTAAAATAATAATTTTTGGTGTCCTTTACTCTTACAATGACATATTCCAAAATTCTTTTCATGGTTAAAGGTTCTTCATGGAGCCGTCAATACTTATAAAAGACTTTTATTAGTTATGCATGTTCCGTACTGTACTGTAATAACAATAAATTGTGCATAATTACATGCAACATATGACTTTGCATCCAGTGGCGCCCCCAGAAAATTTTCTTAGGGGTGGCCAGAAGAGGCCGCACCAAATCTTGGGGTGGCACACAAAAAAAAATGAATTCAGTGTAATGTTTTATTTTTGTTTCTGGTAAATGAAATAATGTAGTTTTTATTCATTAAATTAATTCTACTTGAAATATTGCAATTTATTCTTTGAAATAATTCAGCAAGTACATGTGCAAACCAAATAAAAATCTATGTTTATTTTAAAAACACTTTTCATATACTGTATAAATAACTTCTTTTTTAACGTGCCTTTATTGTACATCATACGAGATATGCCATGTCTAAAATTAATGAAGATTAATGAGTTTATTATTCCCAGAGATGGGTTGCAGCTGGAACGGCATCCGCTGTGTAAAAATGTGCTAGATAAGTTGGCGGTTCATTCTGCTGTGGTGACCCTGGATTAATAAAGGGACTAAGCCGAAAAGAAAATGAATGAAAGAATAATGAGTTTATTAATTACCCAAACAAATGAACAAACTGAACAAAAGGCATTACTATACACACTCACTATAACTAATAATATTATTTATCCATATTGCTTTTTGAACCATTTTATTAATGCAGCTTCTTCTATTGATATACTGTAGCTTAAGGTAAATATTAAATAGCCATTGCTGTCTATTGAAGGTGTGTGCGTGCTGTCAAGGACGATCGGGGAGGGTAGTAGTGGTGGTTCTAGTTTAAATGACACCCTGGGCGAACCACCCTATACACCCCCACCTCTCTTGAATTGTTAGATTTGTTATTCAATAAATATAACAATTTATTTATACTTATTCTAAATATATACAATTAATATTAATATACAATTATTTTTCTAAATAAATAACAGAAATCAGTCCTAAATATTACTGGAAAACAACAACTGGAGTGATATGCCAACATCACTTAAGAAACCTTTTGCATAAAAATTAATTATGACAATTCTAAAGAATACAAAAAATGTATTATAGAATTATCTGTGGTCTTAGACCAGATCATGGCTGAGAAATCATGTTATGAAGTCTTACCTCCCTGACTCATTATCCCTCCTTTCTGCTTTAAAGGCATGCTTAGTGAAAGTAACATCATCATCATCATCATCATCATCATATTATATAAACTTTAAACGACTTTCAAAACTCGCTGCGTGCCGACACCTCTGCACAAAAGGCTGTTACTCCGGTTTCACGGCGCATGAGCGGTGCCTATTATGTCGGCGTGCATGCAAACAACCAACCGGGATTCACACAGGAGTGCGTGAGGCGCGCGGGAATGGTTTTTCGCGCGCATGCGTCAGTTTGCTTTCACCAGCATTGAACCAGAGGGGGAGAGCTACGTCAGTAACACCAACAATAATTTAGTGACTGCATTTTATTTATTTATTTATCTAAATATTGGGAATTTATGAGTTCATTTAAATCAATAATGTCAACGCAAAATTATATTGGGGTGGCCAAAGGGGTGGAGGCCACCCCTTGGAGGCGCCCCTGTTTGCATCTAGCAGCAACTAGTTATTTGAAGTTCAGTCTTCTTGGTTCATTGGTCAGGACCAAAAAAGAAAGGGATACAGTTGTTCTTAGTTAGCTTATCATTCACACTGTAAATTCTATGCCTTTTTTGACATTTTTCATGATGGAACTTAGAAGTTGAACAAGTACGCACAAACATGTTTCTAGTGCCTATATTAAAGTTTTTTTTTTTTTAACAATATGACTATGAAGAGAAAAAACAGATGCTTTGAGCATTCTGTGTTTTCTGGAAGCATCTTGTTAGTTTTTGGTTTGTTTAGTTGTCTTTAGTGTTGCATTCATATTTCACTAAAACTGCATAAGGGCTCATTTGGAAGAAAATAAATGCATCTTTTCAGAGGTCTAAGTCTGCATATTTGGTGCACATCAGAGATCAGATCTGATTCAGACGATCCACGCTCACAGACAAATCACACTACAGTTTGCTTTAAATAAACCTGATATACCCACCTGATCTCACGTGGAAACAAGCATTATAAGAATTTTTTTTTTCTTTTTGTCTTTTTTACTTTTCATTAAACTATAGTATTTGTATTGCTTAAAGTTGATATATTAACCAGACTTTTTCTGTTCAGTGTGATATGCCTTGCATACTTATGAAGCATTTTTACAGAAGTAGATGAAACTGATAGAAATGTAAAGGCCTTATTGAGCTGAACACAGAATATTTGCAGTTGAGGAAGTCTTATGCTTTTAATGTTGTGTAGAGAATTCATAGAGAAAGAGGAAGTATGTACGGGTGCGGCCAATAAAGGAATGGAGAATTATTGACAAGTGACGAATTCCACTAAACTCTACCTGATAATATCAGCTACTTGTAAAAGCTCGAATCAGGAAATGAAAGTGGCTGCGCACCTCCTGAATGTAACTTTTGCATTGCATTGAGGATACCAGAATTCTGTAAATCGAATTATTCATTTGTATCCAATAAATTACTAATATGTTTGACATTGAAGAAAACTCTCTCCTGATCTTTTTTATTGACCATGCATGGAATTAATATTCCAACAAAACTTAACTACTTTACGTATTTGTCAGTTTAGTGGCAGTTTAGTGGCCATATGAAAATAGACAATTTTAAAAAGAAATTGTGGCACACAACTTCGCTCCTAAATCCAACCGTCATTGGTGGAGGAGCAAAAAGTACTAAATTGTATAATTGAGGTAGTAAGAATTCATACAAATTAGCCACTAAATTAAAAGGTTGCGAATTGCAGTGAGATTGTGTTGAATATACTGTTAAAATATGTGATCATGTAATAAAAATAATTGCTTCAAAGAAAGTTTAAAAAAAGTTCTTCTCAAAAGAATGTTTCTTGTTGGTGTGAAGAATATTTTATAATTCTGAGAGACTGTTACAATGGAAAGTTTTATGTGAGTTAATGAAACCATAGTTGCCATTAAAGAACCTTTATTTTTAAGGGTGTATCTCTCTAAGAGTTGTTTCTGCTGTTTGCGAGTATAAATGATTCCATAAAAAACACTATTATTATCAAAAAGTCAATTACCATAGAGTCAAAACTAAACATTCAACAGCCATTTTTTATAGACCTTTGAGTTAGCTACATCTGTCAAACTCACAAATGCCATTCCTCGTTTTCGGCACAGTACAGTTGGAAAGCTCAGATCCTGTTGCTGTGGAGGTGTGTCAAAGCTTGTTGACTGATGTCTACACTTGCCTTGAGGGCACTTGTAAACACAGAATACACCTTTGCTTATAGGCAGCTTGCTCACGTGATGCATCCAGAAATTGCCTTTAAAAACCCCCCTCGCCCTCGCAGAGACTGACAGATCTGATCTAGAAGGTGAGCAAAGGATTTCAACATGTGGATGTTTTGCAAAGCTGACTGTTTGTAAGACTTTTTAACTCTAAAACTGAAGCTTTGAAAGTTGCAGAGAAAAAACAACAGCAACAACAACAACAAAGTGTACAACGATGAGCCTGGACAGCATCAGTACAGAATCTGAGGTTTCAGAAGATGAGTTGGAAGATTGTCCTTTGGATCAGGATGAAGACTGTGGAAAGAACCACCCAGGAAAACATCGTTCAGAGTCATCAGGCCCAAGTGATACAGAGGATTCAAAAGCTGTGAAAAGACGTACTCGACCCAAAAGGTCTAAAGCACGAAGAGCTGCCGCCAATGTCAGAGAACGGAAGCGAATCCTGGATTACAACCAGGCCTTCAACGCATTGCGAACTGTCCTCAAACATGACCTGAATGGAAAGCGTCTATCCAAGATCGCAACTCTCCGTCGTGCCATCCACCGCATTTCAACATTATCTTTATATCTACAAACACATTCATCCACAGAACCACACACACCTCAGTGCACCCATACAGAGTGTTTCCGGCTACCAGAAGAGACAAGTTCCCTTCCCAGAAAGGCAGGATCTTTCCAGGAACCAATTGAGAACTACATACATCAGCCAGAGCTCACAGCCTCTCCAGAAATTCCTGGGATTGTGTACCAAGACATATCAAATTTGGCACCAACACCACGTTATGGCCACTGTGCAGCCAACAATCAGGAACATTTGAGTCACGGACATTTCGTTCACCAATGGGACGACCAAAGCAGCGGTGGATATTACACTGGATTCCAAGAGGGGACTAAAGTCTCCTGTCATCAGAACCATATGGACACCTATGCAGACTCTGTGAACCCGTCTTTAGCTTGGCAGTTGGGTTACCTTCCATGTCATGGATATCAGCAGTCCTTAAGTATGCACTGAGTAACGTTTATCATCTTAGATTTGTGTTGAAAACCATTATTAGAGAATGTTTGGATACATTTTTGTTCAGGTAAAACAGTATACTGTATATTACAGCAAATGCCTGGTAAAAAAAAAAAAAAAAAAAAAAAAACTTCTATAAATGTTTATCTTTTGTACATAATGGTTTTGTAAATGTAAGATGTTAGATAATATGACAAAAATAAGCCTTAATAATTTTGTTGTTGTCTAAATGTTTTTGTTACTGCATTCATACATTCTGATATGCACAGCCCCCCAAATAAAGCAGCTTATGTTATAAAACAGACTGGCTCTTTTAAAACTATTGTAGTTAAATTATTATTGTCTACTAAATACAAAGCAATTACTTCTTTCAGCTTAAGAAATGACTTATAACTGTAAATTAAATAATTATTTGCACATAAGGTGTATCAATTATATTTGCTGAACAAACAGTTGACGTCAGAATTATTAGCCCCCGTGAATTATTACCCCACAGTTAATATTTTTCCCCAATTTCTGTTTAATGGAGAGAAGTTTTTTCAACACATTTCTAAACATAATAGTTTTAATAACTCATTTCTAATAACTGAATTATTTTATCTTTGCCATGATGATAGTAAATTATATTTTAGATCTTTTTCAAGACACTTCTATACAGCTTAAAATGACATTTAAAGGCTTAACTAGGTTAATTAGGGTAACTAGGCAGGATGGGGTTATTAGGCAAGTAATTGTATAACGATGGTTTGTTCTGTTGACTATCGAAAACAAATATAGCTAACGGGGCTAATAATTTTGACTTTAAGATGTTTATTAAAAGTGTAAAAACGGCTTTTATTCTAGCTGAAATGAAACAAATAAGACTTTCTCTAGAAGAACAATTTTAACAGATATAATGTGAAAATTTCCTTGCTCTGTTCAACATCATTTAGGAAATAGAGGGGGCTAATAAGTCTTACTTGATCTGTTGTCTTGATCCTTGTCAGTGTAGAACAACGTTTTTGCATTTAAGCAAAAAAAAAAAAAAAAGACCCCCCCCCCCCTCAAAAAAAAAAAACACTTAAATTAATTTTTATTTTTATTATCACATTTTACAGATTAATTTTCATTGCAAGCATTTTTCTGACTGTTGTCATTAACATTACATCATACTTTTGCATCTTTGTACATTCCAATTCCAACTGTATTTCTCATAAGTGTGCCTTTTATATCTTACCATGTTATTACTAGTTCTTAAAATGCTTTTATTAACAGTTTTATTTATTACTTTTAGCTGCAAGCTGTAGTCATTTGTCAAAAATTCTGTTAGTATGTGGAAAAGTCTAGTAGTGCAGCAAGTTCTTTGTACTATGTCTCGAGAAAAGGAGAACAGAACTAGTTAATCTGCAAAATTCCTTTTGAAGTGTTAAAAATCTTCTGACTGTTTAACATGTAATTGCTGTGTCAACTTTACATTCTGTTTTATGGCGTCAAGCAGAGTTGGCGTTGATGTTGTAATTACTGCAAATTGTTGCTGCATGTCAACATGGAAGTAATAAGTTTCACAATTAGCTGTTGAAAAAGTGGCTGCAATCTTTACACTTTGAAAAATGCTGCGTTATGTCAATCCAAATTAGAGTTAAATAGAGACAAATGTAACCACTGGATCAAAATCAGACTATACATTTTATTTTAAAAAGTGTAACTAACTAACTAACTAACTAACTAACTAACTAACTAACTAACTAACTAACTAACTAACTAACTAACTAACTAACTAACTAACTAACTAACTAACTAACTAACTAACTAACTAACTAAATAAATAAATAAATAAAAAAAATAAAAATAACAGCACAGCAATCAATTGGGTCTAACCACTTGGTCAAAATCAGACTATAAATCAAAAAAAAAAAAAAAAAAAAAAAACAGAATTTTTAATATATTGGATTCATTGGAAATGTTAGAGTGTAGCAAAATAAATAAATAAAATAAAAATAACAATGCGACCATTAAAGTGATTGGGTCTAACCAGTGGGTCAAAATTAGATTATAAATTAACAATTTTTTTAATAACCCAGAATTTTTTGTATATTAAATGTACTAGAAATTTTAGAGTGTAACTAACAAAATAAAATAAATGAATAAATAACAATACAGATATGCGATTGGGTCTAACTACTGGGTCCAAATCAGACTATAAATTTAATAAAAAAATTAACCCATAATTTTTTTGTATATTGTATGTATTGGAAATTTTAGAGTGTAACAAAATAAATAAATAAAATAATAACACCGATATGCAACTGTATAAATATGGAAGACCATTACTCCATGTCATATGACAATTATGATTTATCGTAATTAAGATGATTCATAATTTCTACTTTTAAAGTAATAATTTAAATTTATCTTATCGTTTCGACTTAGTAAGTCATAATTTTGACTTGTTTTTTTTTTTCTTCTTACCTGTCAGGAATGGCCTTCCAATAAATAAATGTTCAGCACTCCAAACAAAATGTATGTGGTCTGCATTTGTTCTAACAGGATTTGTCATGGATCTTTATAAGTAATAGGTAATATAAGAAAATGGGAGGGTTGTTTAAGAAGATGTAAAGTTGAACTCCAAAAGTATTTCCTTGGAAGAGATTGAGAGTATACATTTAAAAGGTAATTTCTCAGGCTTGTAATAAATTTTTCTTTTAGCAGAAGGGGGCAGTGATGGTCTTTCTCCAGGAGTTCCCCCCCCCCCCCCCCCCCCCCCCCCCTCAGGATTGATAGAGGGAGGCGATTCCAGTAAAATGGAGGTTTGAGGAGCAGGAAAGAGCTCTGTTCTCCCTCAAGGCAGAAATGACTCAGCTTTGTCTCTTGATCACATCCAGTCAGATTTTGTTCCTCTTCACCACCTCCTTCACACAGTCTGATAACACGTCTGTCTTTATTGACCCACTAGTAACAACTGCTCATTTTATACAACAGCTTTGAGTCAGAACAGCTCAAGATCAGTCAGATTAAACTAAATAACAGGTTCAGATTGCGAGGAAGGATTGTGGGAAAGTATTTATGAATGCAGTCATGCCAAACACCTTATGAAATCTGTTTATATTTGAGTTGCAGGTTAAAGGTTACAATGTTTTTATTAGGTAACTACACAACTAGGCCACTTGAGGGCAGCATGTTCATGCAAGACTAAAGTCAAAATAGATTACTTGTTTTTTGAATGAAAACATGCTGGATGTACTTTTGGTAAACATGTATGGTTCGTCTCGCTGAACATGTAACCTAGTATATGACCAAATAATTACAAACAATTACTTTTACATTATTTTTAAAAATCTTAAACACATGTAGCTCTCAAATTCTCAACATTTGATTTTAATAACAGAAAACCTGATGCCACATTTATAAATAAATATATGCTTTTACTTTATTTATAGAATTTTTTATGAAGACATAACACCCAATAGTGTGTCATGTATGTTAAAAAAAAATTATCTCGGTGTTATTACCTGATACCAACTAGAACATGTACCAAAACAGTAGCAAACAATACAGCAATTATACAGCACCATCAAAAATAAATAAATAAATAAATAAATAAATAAATAATAATGAAATAAATAAATTAATTAAAATAAATCAATAAAATCTTAGCCAGACTAATGGAATAAGAAACAAAATAAAATATAAAAAATATTTACTGAGACATTATTAACCAATACATCTATAGAAGAGGCCCCATATTTTGTCATACATCTTCTGTTTGCCAAATCTAGAGAAATTTAACCTTTCCAGCTTGAGAGCAGAAACCATTTCAGCTAACCAATAAAAAAAAAAAAAAAACTTAGAGGTGGACTTCCACTCCATTAGAATCACTCTCTTGGCCAGCACCATGCCAAACATAAGGGAGAGTTGTTGATGTTTAGGCATAGCTAGGGCCTGTCTGAACATCCAAACAATGCTAATTCCACATTCAATTTAATGTCCATTTCAAAAGCCTGGGAATAAGGTCTGAAGATACTTTTTCAAAACTCAGATACAGGACCAGAATGTATGACCGTTGGAGAGATAGAAGGATACAGCGTATTAAGGTGTAATCTATGCATCACTTTAAATTGTATTGTATGAGCTGTACACATTTATATTTAATGTATAATATAGATATTAAAATGGGTTTTCAGTAACCAAAACAAGTAAGCTTGTGAATAAATGTGTGAGCAGAAAAATACAAAATATTTAAAATGTGAATAAAATAAAAAGATAAAACTAGTTTAAATACCAATTCCCACAATTAATCGCATATTGCCTGCCTATAATTAAGAAATTGGCTGTTTATTAGTACTTATAAAGTATGATTTTATTCCTTCCTAATCCTATCCAATGCCTAAATCCAACTACTAGCTTACTAAATAAGCAACTAATTAGTCGTTTATTTATCTGAAAGTCTTAGTCTTTGGTTTAATAACAGTGATAATTTGTACCTTAAAGTAAAGTGAGACAACACTATTCTTAGGCATATTCAAAACAAGAAGCATGAGATGACATATTGAAAGACTTCTATTTAAGCATCACGGTTTAGCTATCTGTCATTTTAAAACTTTATACCTAGCTACTTTTAAACCACAAGGTTTTTACCAATTTGTATGAATAAAGTTTTTAATAATTTCAAAAATAATTTAGTATGATGATCACTTAATCTTATCTGTACTTATTAAAAGTGTCTAAAAGAGTGAATTTTGGGCTTTATTTGTACATAAATGTATCTGTTAGACTAAATGATGATCACATAATTTGACACACATTTTAAAACATTAAAATAAAAACTTTACTCCCATTTAATATGCTCTTTTATGCATTTGAGCACTATGAATTTACAACAATGTGAGGGTGAATAAATGCTCAATATATACAGCTGAAGTCGGGGTTATTAGACCCCTGAATTATTAGCCTCCCCCTGTTTATTTTTTCCCCTAATTTCTGTTTAATGAAAAGAATATTTTTTTCAACACATTTCTTAACATAATAGTTTTAATAACTCATTTCGAATAGCTGATTTATTTTATCTTTGCCATGATGACAGTAAATAATATTTTACTAGATCTTTTTCAAGACACTTCTATGCAGCTTAAAGTGACATTTAAAGGTTTAACTAGGTTAATTAGGTTAACTAGGCAGGTTAGGGTAATTAGGCAAGTTATTGTATAATGATGGTTTGTTCTGTAGAATATCAAAAAAATAATAGCATAGCTTAAAGGGACTAATTATTTTGACCTTAAAATGCTTTTAAATTTTTTTTTAAAAAACAGTTTTTTTTTAAAAACTGCT